GTCATTAGATTCCTCTGGAAATAGAGCTGTGGATGATTGTCAGCCACCATGTGGGTGCTGGGAACTGAACCCGGATCCTCTGCAAGAGCAGCCAGTGCTCTTAACTGCTGAGCGTCTCTCTAGCTCCTAGTTGGAGTCTCTTATCACTAGCATATGCTGACCTATGCATGACTCTTACAGAGTCAAGGGTATAAATGAAAGTTAAAATAGATTCTGAGCAGAAATTTCAGGGGGAGACAGACTCTGGAGTTAATCCAGGTAATCACTAAGCAAACAAACCGAACAGAAGGTTTGTAGCAACAATTCCCCAGGGTGTGTCAGTCAGAATTTCTGTGAAATATCATCTACACTATTTAGTGACCAATTTCCTTTTCTTTTTTTAAAAACTGTATTATTTTTATTTTTTGTGTATGAGTGTATTGCCTGCATGTAAGTGCACCCGTGTTGTGCAATGCCCACGGAGGTAAAAGAGAGCGTTGCATTCCCTGGAACTGGAGTTACAGACGATTGCTAGTCACCATGTAGGTGCTGGGAACCGAACCCACGTCTTCTTCAAGAGCAGCCGGTGCTCTTAACCGCAGAGCCATGTCTGCAGCCCCTAGCAACCAATTTTCAGTATGCAATGATAAGACTTGCTGTGGGCAGGAGAGCGTGAGAAACACCCAGAAAAAAATTAATGGTAACTGTCTATGAGGGGTCCTAGAGGTCGGAATTGATAAAGACACAGATATAAACGAGCTGAAAAAACTGAAGGATAAAACATAAAGAACAAGGTAAGTGCTGTATCAACAGCGGATCTCCGGACCAGGAGCACTGTTGTCACCTCGCCTTGAGCGCTGTGGCTGGGCTTCCCAGCGTCCATCAGCTCACACTTCTGCCTGCCCTCAGGACCTGCCAGGGCCTCAGGCCCCTCCCCCACCTGGCTTGCAGGGCCTGGATGACATTGGGTACATTGGATACCGAAGTTACAGCCCATCATTCCAGCGCCGGACTGGCCTTCTGCATGCACTGTCCTTCCGGGACTCACCATTTGGGGGGCTTCCTACCTTCAACTTGGCCCAGTCCCCTGCATCATTCCCACCAGAGGCCTCCGAACCACCTCGAGTTGTCAGACCAGAACCCAGCACCCGAGTCCTGGAGCCTCCCGCTGAGGATCACCGTGATGAGGTGGTCCTGAGGCAGAAACCTCCGACAGGTCGTAAAGTCCAGCTGACCCCTGCAAGGCAGATGAACCTTGGATTTGGTGATGAGTCCCCAGAGCCAGAGGCCAGTGGGCGAGGGGAACGCCCAGGCAGGAAGGTGGCCCCTTTGGCCACTACGGAAGACTCTCTGGCTTCTATCCCCTTCATTGGTGAGTGGTGATGCAAGCAGCTGACTGAGGAACCCAGTCTGTGTCCTGTTGTGCCCCACCCACTTGTCTGCTGTGCTTAAAACTCTGGGTGTGTGCCGATAGTATCACTGGAGATCCCTGTCTGTCCACTCATCTTTCTATTCTTCAGTCATCCTTTCTTCCATCCCACCTCCCAGTCATTCATCTTCCCATCCAGTTTTTCATACCCCTCCCTCCCTCCCTTCCATTCATTCTTTCTCTCTCTGTGAGACAGGATCTCATGTAACCCAGGCTAGCCTCCAACTTCTTATGTAGCTGACAATGATCTTGGACTCCTGATCTACCTGCCTCAGCCTCTCAAGTGCTGGATTCCATGCCTGGGTTGCCTTTATTTCTTAGTATCTGTTTAAATCATCGTTTAAAGTATATTGACACAGGTGATAAGATATAAAAAGAAAATACAATTATCATATTTTCTAAAGGTTATAGGGAACAGAAGTTACATGTATTTATTTTTCTCTGTCATGTAGCAGTTAGTAGCATCTATTTTGCAGAATTCAGAAGATTTGATTAAAGAGAGTTATCATAATTAAAACAGTGCAACTCACCAGAGTATGAGAATGTGCTCTTCCAGCCTGCAACAGAACAAAACCACGAAGCGGCATTAAATTCTCCTCGCTTTGTCAAGAGTTTCCTCTTTTCATCCTTTATGCTGTGAGTGTTCAGTTACATATTTATATGAGCGATTGACGAAGCTCTCTACTCTTTCTCATATATGATGATTTCGCTCTTAAACTTGAACATGTTTGAGTTTGTGTATGTGAACAGAAAAATGGAAAGACAGAAGGAAAGCTAAATTCAAGAAAGGAAAGAAAAATAAAAACTAAAGGAATGGTGGAAGGGACTACAGAAAGCATGAGAAATGAAAATGTAAAAAGGAAGAGTGGATGGGGGAGGAGAGAAACGGAGGGAGCTGGGGGGGAGGAATTAGGAAGAACTGGAAGGGATCAAACTAAGAAAAACTGCAACAAAGTTCAACATGAGGAGTGGTGGTGGATGAGAAAGAAGGAAAACTCATGAAATATTCACACACACACACACACACACACACACGCACACACACACACGTGTACAGGGTGTCCTTGTAGCCCCAGCTGATCTCAGACTCCCTATGTAGAACAGGCTGGCCTCAGTCTCACAGAGATCTGCCTCCCTCTGCCTTCTGAGTGCTGGGATTAAAGGCATATGACACCACATCTGGCCAAAATATTCATATTTTTTATTTCTCATATCAATAAGAGTGTCTTCAACCTGGGTGTTATAGCATACAATTTGATCCCAGTACTTGGGAGGCAGAGGCAGGTGGATTTCTGAGTTTGAAGCCAGCATGGTCTACATACTGAGTTCCAGGCTAGCCAGGGCTACACAGTAAGACCCTGTCTCAAAAAGGAAAAAAGAATGTATTGAATAAAAGGTGAGCTGAGGGGGTGGAGAGATGGCTCAGTGGTTAGGAGCACGGGCTGCTCTTCCAGAGGATCAGGGTTTGCTTCCCAGCACCCACATCTGGTGGTGCACAACCATCTGTAACTCTGGCTTCAGGGGATCTGATGCCCTGTTCTGGCCTCCTTGGGACCTGCACACATGTAGCATACACTCACACAGACACATACACACAAATAAAAAACTATTTTAAAATGAGTTAAGTACCATTCACAGATTCTCTGCCGTGAATGTCCCAACAGGACACTGCCTGACTTTCTGCTCCCGGGTTTGGAGGAGGACTATTTGTGGCACTTGATCCCATGAAAGAACTGAGTTACTTACCGTTGTTGAACTGAGTTTTCATTTCATCTGAAAGGAGACACCCGAGTGAGAGTGGGGCAAGTGGGACTTGAAGGAGAAAGACACAGAAAGGGAGCCGCACACCACTCTGAGCTCTTAGCAGCCTGTACCAGCTCATCAGCCAGCCACCGCGCTCTCCTGAAATTGTCCCTCATGGGCCAAACTTAGGAGAAGTTCAATACCATAATAATCAGTGCAATCATCATCATCATCATCGTCATCGTCATCGTCGTCGTCATCATCATCGTCGTCGTCATCATCATTTTTATCATTGTTATCATCGTCTTCATCTGCCGTGGAACCTTGCTACCACGTCCAGGGGCAGGTTGCTTTCCAGCTATACTTAAGAGTTTCACACCATTCTCTTCATCTTCTGACTCTGCATCTGCTTCCACAGCTACTAGGCGCTGTCAACCAATATGTTCAGCCCTTGAACCGCACTTCAACCTTAAGCCCACTTCAGCCAAAGCCCCCAAGGGAAACCGTTGTTTGTATAGACATTTTCAAAGTTGCCAAGATTGCTTTAATTGGACTGCCTTCAGAATTCATTGCCATTGCCTCACTGTTGTACAATTCAACTTTTGCCACGGCTCCTAAACTGCGTTATCACAATGATAACAGGTGCTCGTTTTCACCATTATCCATTTTAAAGTGATAATCTTTGTTGGCCTTAACTTCACAACTGAGAAGATAGTTCTGAGACCTTAGAGACTCATGTCTTTGTCCATTGCACCATCCATGGAGTGGAGGTGCACACCTGGGGGTGAGGAAGCTAGAGATAACTGACTGCTGCTCCTCACAACAGAGTGCAGGGCAGAGTCTTGTCAGGCCTGTTTTCCCAGATCAAGTTCGATTTCCTTGGAATAGTCTAGAAGACCATCTTTCAGTTCTGTATACTCTTGTCATCTGTAACTTTCCACACAATCACACAATTATTTGTAGTTTTCTCAAATACGTTGGTGCTGTTTCATGTATCCATGATTTTTCTCTTTCCTCATTTTCTGTCTAGTGAATTTTCCATTTATTGTTCAAGACTCAAGATGTGTGTTTATGCTGGGCAGACCAGCCACCCAGTCTTCTCTACTCTT